GGCACTCGCTTATGCTGTTGCCACAGAGGCTGACTTCAACATTGACTCATGATGCAATACCTCTCTTCATCCACGCAAAAAGTGTACTCTGGCTGACCAAGTCTACTGTTAAAGTCCAGCAAACCATTACATTTCTGTGCAAAAAAGGGGGCTGCCTGGTGTAATTGCGCGTGCATGCTTACACAAATGCACGCACTCACCTTCCACATTGTTCTCTCCATTGCAGACCCCTATCCTTGCATGCTCTCTCTACCAGTGTGTCGAGATCAAAAGTGCCATCATGATCCTGGCATGTTGGATGGTCTTTGAAGCTGAATCTGTGGCACACAGTAAGGCTGATGGTTGTTGTGGTGTCCTTGCCTGCAACAATTGTGCAGTACTGATCAAACATGAGCAACAATGGCAATGATGTGCCTTGCTTGGATGTTGGCAGCTTGACTTGATGCCAGACAATGGATGGAGATTGAAATGCTGCCGCCACCGCCTTTCCCCTAGCAATGATGCTGTTGTGCATGAGATGTTCTTGCTGACCTGCTGGAAGAGCGTGGATGTTGTTGCTGCAGATGGCGCCCATGAGGTGCAGCTTGCTCTTGATTTTGCGCTGCCTCTTGCGTCTTGTGGCAGTACGAGTCTCCACCCTGGCTTGCCTGTAGAGCGCCTTTCTGGCAGCAAAGCTAGCACGCTTGACAAGGGCCGGTGCGCTGAGATGATGGGGACGTTCATCTGGGGATTGTGCGCACGGTCAGCACCATTGCCAGCATGTGCTGCACACACTCACATGCTGCCCGTGCTGCGGCGCCCATACAATGGCTTTGATCCGGCAGGTTGAGCATCACACTGAGCAACCTTGCACATTGGGAGCCATTCAGAGAGACGCACACCCAAAGTGTCCAAAGTTGCAAAGCTGAAAGTTTGTCAGCCCCCAGATCACTGCAGCTGTCAAGGCGGCATCTGGCATCATTGCAAGCAAAACAGCAACAGGTCGCTTAGCATCTTTGCTCTTCAATCAGCAACAAAAGTACCTCCCAGAGGAGAGACTTTTCCACACGCCCTACCACATCAATCAGTCCTGTCACGACAGCATCAAGGAAGTCTTTTGTGTCCAAAAGAACACCAACTTTCCTTGTTTCTGGCACTTTGGTGACGATGGGAACCTGCATCTGACTGCTGATGCCAGTCGAGGCCTGCCAACCCCTTCTAATCATGCGTACTACCCTCAATGGCCCCCAGAGAGCATTGCAGCGACGAGCAAAAACCAAAATTTTGCAAACGTGCTTGATGTCCCTCTGGTTCAGCTCATTGCGCTGAACCTCAACTCCAGAGCCTCAAGTGTATGCCTGGATCAGTGGCATATCCTACACGCTTTCTGCAAGCTGGATGCCTTCAATGCTCCTGATTCCTTCTGTGGAAGAATGTGGAAGCATGCTCTTCACAAGTCTGAGAGCAGTCCTATCCAGGAGATGTTTCACAGTACCTCCAAGGGGCCTGGGAGTCAGGCCATGGTCAACACTGGCACTGCCATTGCTGTGCGCTTTTGCAATGAGTGGGAAGAAAGAAGCAGGCAGCTTGGATGTATCGAGGATACCACAACTGCTGTGAGCAGCAAGGATGCTGAGATTGCCATGCTCAAGCAGCAACTGCAAGGTGCGCGGCCACAAGGGTTCTCTCCTGGTCTCCAAAATTGCCAGCAGACACCTCTCCACTGTCACCGCAGCAGCATGCAGGAACAAAACAGCAGCTTGCTGCCACTCCAACTCCACCCCATCTAGCCAAGCGCCTTCAACACATGCAAAGGCAGCTCACAGCAACCTCATTGCAAAACACTCAGCTTGAGTTGAGCTTGAGCGGCAAATTGACTCTGGCAAGATTGGCAGTGCTCAAGCTGCAAGTGCAAGGCATGCAAAGGGCACTCTCTCCTGGTCTGCAAGACTTGCAAGCCAAGCCTTTCCCACTGCTACAGTAGTTGTAGCGGATGAGGAAGCAGAGTAGCAGCTCAGTACTGCCCCATGGTCACCCCATCTCGGCCTTGCTGAGCGCCTTGCACAGATGCAGACGGAGCTTCAGACCGCTCAAATGCAAATTGCCAGGATGAAAGCCAATTTGAATCTGTTGAACATACAATACAACGCGCTTTAGTTGGAAGCAGAGACAAGCATCGAAAAGCTCGAAGCAGAGCTACGCAGCGTACAAGACGAGCACAAGAGGGGCAACAGGCAGTCAGAGTCATTTCTCTTGGGGCTCACATTGCTGAACATTTGACATACAGCGCAATCCACGGCGCTGCTCTTCTCCATCAAGCCACCCCCCAATACTGCGCTTTAGTGCGAGTTGAAGGAGAGCAAGCGGGAGGCTGCATGTCAAAAGCACGCTCAGATCAACATGCCTCACCAGCTCAGAGCTTTCTAGATGAGGCGCTTGGTGCGTCCATAAAAAATCAAGCAAACGCCAGCAAGCACGTGGTAGCTCAAGAGCTTCAGCAAGTGAGATCTGACATTGCTCAAGAGCAACCAGATGCACAGAGAGCGCGTGCAAGACTCCAGGCATACTGCGATTGGCGAATTGAGCTGATGGTGAGTAGCGTGCAGCACAGCTTTTTTTGCTGAGCCACCGCCACATCACACATCGAAAGCTGGAGCAGAACATTGAAAATGCGAAAGGGGCCTGGGAGCGCGTCTATTATTGTTTGAATCAGCGTTACGCCATTAAGTTCGAGCGCTTCACGCTGAGCGCCAACGCTGCGCTTGCTGCCAAAGAGAAGCAATGGCAGCAGACACACCAAAGCGTGGTCTCGCCAATCGCTGCTCAGGCTGCCAGTGACGCCGCATCTGAGGTAGCATAGCTGGCTCATTGCTCAGACATCGAGAAACCTTGTATTGCGCACAACAATGGGCGCTCTAAGCGCCACGGAGAGTGGAGTGCATTTCTGATCTGTCGAATTCGACTCACGAATTACGCGCACGCCCTCGCTCCAATCCAGCCCCTTGGTGTTTGTTTTGTCAACTTTCAACAGCCGCGAGGCTACGCGCTTGCGCAACTACTGCGGGGAGATCAGCTTGACGCTATCACGTGTAGCGAGCGAAGCCGAGAAAGCCCATTCAATGCCAGCAAACCGGAGACGGTCAGTCTCAAATTCGGCAGCACGCTCCATCCCGGTCTATCTTTGACGCGTGTCAAACTCGCCAAAAAAATCTCGCTCCATACAGATTAATCTTCGGAAAGTGTGCGGAGCGCTAAGAATCGGTGCACTACAGCCATGCTTGCGAGCTGCTTTAGGCCTCGTCCCTCGCCTGTGGATTTTGAAGGTCTCGTTAGCTGCTGTTTGAATTC